TCCAGAAGATGTTTTATGTTTTGGCTGTAAGAAAGCAGCAGCTCTGCAGACAGCAGCTGTAAATAAAAGCTGCCAAAGGTTAAACAGAGCCTGTTCACGCCACCTTTATCAAGCCGTCATGAATCACCTAACCTGCCGAAGAGCGGACCCGTGTGCACGGTTAAAGGTCTGCTGGACATCTGTGCAGGGAGTGGCAGTTGGGCGGACGGAGGGCGGTCTGAGCAACCCAACAGGGAGGGGCAATTTATTACTGCAATTAGGGAACCGTGGGAATAAAGAGGCAAAGACAGTGTGCAAATTATAACTGATATCGGCGATTATTAAATATACTCAATAGGGAGAAATACGGACTTGTTATAAAAACAGAAATGCTACATAAACTGGGTTAGATTTGATCTTTTTATTCTATCCTTTCCCTTTCTCCAGCTCTCCTACCCTCACTGTCTGCTGCTCAGTCAGTGTGGATGATATTAATGGGACATCCCTTGTTTGTAAATGTGCCAAGTAGTGAGCACCACTGCAGGCTGTCTATTATAGCAGGCCTCTGGGGCAGCTATTCCATATGGTTTCACATATGGCACTCAGCAGCATCAATTAATGTTGTTATAATGCTGATTTTTATGAGCCAGGGCTTAACGTCTTTCCCTGTTATTCTACCCATCTTACTCCTCCTTTGTGCCCCCCCCCCCCCCCCCCCCCATATGATCTTTGATTCTTTTTCCATGTTTCCTAAAATGTTCAATCATTGAAAAGTTTGGTCTGTTCTGAAGGCTTCACCCAGTTTTGCCAATTGCTTTCCTTAATACTCAAATTGTCAGAATTTTCCTATCCAAGTTAAACTGAAAATGATTAAAGGCTGAATATTTGCTCAGCCATATGTATTAAAATCTAGTACAAAGGGATTATGGAAGAATGCATATTTGCATCTGATACCATTTTCTGCAGTAACAGCAATTCGCCCAGGTCACATTAGGCCATAGCGTGTTACATTAGGCCTGTATTTATGCACAAAGCAATAAGCAGATGGATCTGAGAGGAGAATCTGAGGGGCCCTTTTGTTCCCTGGTGCCTTTGGTGGTGGATCTGACAGGACTGGGAACAAGAGCACAGCAAAGAGCCCCGCTTAAAAAGCTCCCAGACACACCATCCTTGTCAGCGGTGCCACAATTAGAGACGAGATCACTGGCGCTTCCCAGCGAGAAGCATCTCACCACCGTTTCTCAATGGAACGCTTTCGTTTGACGAACACCCTCAAAGCTGGGGGTTTTAAAACATTTCGGATGGCTAATCACTCTCAGGATGAAAGGCTCCGGCGTGTTCGTTTGTGTCAGCGTGGGGAGCTTCCCTTGCCGTTTCGCTTTCTCTGATTCTGATTGTGTTTTTTTTTTTTTGTTCCTTTTTTTTTTTGCAGCGACGCAGGCGAGCTTGAAGGCAGCACTGTTTGAAGGTGTAGTCAGACCCGAGCGCAGGCCTGATGCTTTGTAGTGATATTTCCAGCAGCACAATCTCATTACTTTTTGACGTGGGAGACGCGTGCAGGGGCGGCTTGTCATTTCATGCTGTCAAAAGTTCTACGTGGAAACAGAAGCAGCAGTGAAAACTTCAATGACCTGCATAGGTCTGGCTCATCAAGGATGAATATATTAAACCAAATATCACAGATAAAGCCCAATGAACCAAATCATCAGAGATGTTTGTGAGCATTATGTCTGCTCCATAGAGTTTTGAAGGTTTCTAGTCCCTCATCAGGGATACTGTGATTACCTTTTTTTCCCCGCTGTTTCAAGTGTTCTACTACTGTACATGCCCAGTTGGGCAAATGAAAAAAAACAAAAAATGATAGTATCCTCATTCACCTTTCAAAAATGATGAGAGCTCCTGCATAGTTTCACATGAGAGAATCTCTGGCAGTCCCCCCCTTAGGAAGGAGCCTGGGGTGCGTCCCATGACGTTGATTTCACGCGGACTCCTTTCAATGCAGAGAGAGAAATTAGCTCTGTGTGAGATGCTGCATGGCACTGACTAAAGCGGCTGGTTACCATGCAAACCCCAGCCTGTTGCTGGGGCGACTGTCCTAAAGTGCTTCCTGGGTAATTTTCGAGGTCACTGGTTTGTGCACGCCTATGTGCTGCAGATGGGCCCACCCTCATTCAGCACCCAGCAGGAGCTCTTTCATTAGGTCCAGTGAATGGCCTTATTCATCCCCTTCGCCCCGATTGGTCACAGTGAGTCTGTGCAGAGGGCCCAGGACAAACTTTTCTCCCTGATCTTCCACACACCACCCACCTTAGTCATGCTTTACTTTTGTTCATGGGCATGTGGTGGCTGAAACTCCAGGGACTCCTCTTTGGTAACAAAAAATGGTTTTCAACCATTTTAATAAAAAAACTTAAAAAAACGAGCAAATTGAAGACAGTTACAGCTTATTAAGGTAAAATCTCTACCCTTGATCCCTTGTATGCTAATGACAGGTTATCTGAATAGCTAATGAAACTAAGCTCTATAAGCAGCACACGTACCAAGATATACAGCTATGTTTTCGGGGGCCAATTTAGCCTGCGGGAGTAAACCCTGTAAAACCTAAACCATGACATAATTGTCTAAGAACGTAAATGCTTTAAAACTAGAGTTGACATTGAACATTCTGATAAATGTAAAAAAATATATATATCCATTTGGAGTAAGTTAAATCAGATAAGTTCTAAGTTGTATCATTTGTGATACATTAGTATTAGTACATATCCATGCACGATTTTATTAATCTTCTGGTTGCTTCATGCATCTGTCAGCTTTTTAATGAACAAAAATGTCAGTGATGATGTAGATGTTTAAAAAAAACTCCTGTATCAAAAATGATACTCTGTGTTAGACTTGATGATACACTTGATGTGGGGAAGGGACCCAGTCTGGTTGTGTCATATGACACTCAGCGCAGCAGAAGGCAAGGCAAGGCAAGGCAAATTTATTTGTAAAGCACAATTCAGTACAAAGACAATGCAAAGTGCTTTACGTGATTAAAATACAGGAAGATAAAACAGAATCAAAGCAAGTAGGAAAAAATAAAGAATAAATTAGATAAAATAAAAAATGCAGAAACAAAAAAGAATTTTAAAAACAGTTGGACTAAAGAAAATATGTTTGAGTTTAACTGTTTAAGTAGAACAGTTGAAGGCAATCCTAAACAAATGTGTTTTTAGTCTTGATTTAAAGGAACTCAGGCTTTCCGCACTTTTACAGTTTTCTAGACGTTTGTTCCAGATGAGTGGAGCCTAAGAACTAAATGCTGCTTCTCCATGTTTAGTTCTGGTTCTAGGTATGGAGAGCGGGCTGGATCCAGAAGACCTGAGCAAGAGTGTTTAGCTTAGCTTAAACGCTACTTATGTTTCATGTTTTAGATGAACTGAAGCTTTCATTGTTAAGTTGTATCAGGGCAGAATGTTGAGGCTGACCTGCAAAAAACAGCAGTGTCTGTCACTGTCAAGGACAGTAGGAGCTTCTGCAACATCAACAAACTAAGTGTTCAATCTGTGTTTTCAAGCATAAACATGGAGGTCGATTTTATTAGCTTTGATGAAAACAAAATAAAGAAATAATCATTTAGTGATGTGTATTCTTAAATGGCTTCAAAATCATAACCTGTTCTGATTTTATGAATCACATAACAGGTAGAGAAAGTTGGCATGAACTGGTTCAATTAAGATCTTTTAAAACCTATAATTAAAAATCCTCAAATACTGTTTCTTTATTTTTTGTGACCAGCTGAGCCCTACCCGGGTTTGTGTTTGCATCATGGAGTAAACTATGGAGTAATGCTTGTGTGTGCACACTGCAGGTCAGCTGGCTGAAAAAAGGTAATTTAAGTTTATCTTTACTCATGACAAAGACAAATTCTGAGGTATCTGAGTATTTTAACTCACAAATAAAAATTATCAATTGATTAGGGCATTCAGCAGCCAAGCCTTGAGATCATGTGAGGCACCTGCATTGTCACTCTGTACATTTGCTTTTTATTATCAATATGAAGTCTTTCATTCAGGGATAAATGTTTCTGTTTGTGTAAATCAACATTTTTGAAATATGTGTTATCATGATAAACATGTAATTGGAGGAAGAGAAAGGAAATACAGTATAAAAATTTGGCCCAAAAAAATTAAGAGCACTTATGCGGGCTTGGTTAGACTACTGTTAAAATAATCACCCTTAAAAACCTGTATCGACTGATTTTTTGTGTACAGGCTGTATTTTTATATATAGATATATATAGAGAGAGAGAGAGAAAGAGAGAAAACAGAAGCAAATATTCATTTGTGCAGTAAAATTTCAAAGCCAAAGAAAATATTAAGTGTCAAAAATGAAACAAAAAAAAAACACTTAACTGTATTAAAAACATTACTATTAATGCCATAACATCTACAGCAATTTAATCTCAATATGTAGCAATAGCAACAGATGTTTGCTTTAAATCCAAATGATAGGTATACATTTTTATTTCTTGCCTAAACACCAGAAAGCTCTGGCATATTTGTTAAAAGTTTTCCTAATGTAAAAATCCCATGCTGACAAAACCAAAGTGAAATTTCTGTCTCTGTCTTCCTAATATGAGCCTAAGAACCGTTCTAAGAAAAAAAACAATCAAGCAGCAACATGCAATCCCTGCTTCTGCTCAGTCCACTGAGTTGCTTCACTAGCTGCAGTTCATAGAAATTCTAGAGGTTTCTCTACAGCCTGCCTCTCCTTGGCACTCAATAGGTCTCAGGTCTAGCCTGGTGAGAAGTGACTAATTGTCTTAAGTTATTAGTGTGCTGGGAATGAGCCTCACTTCAGTCAGTGACAGGGTGCACAATAATTTTGTTTTTTTCCCGTCCTCCTATCCCCCCTCCCCTCTCCCTCTCCATCTTGCTGCTGATTTTGCCCCCGTGCTTCTCAAGCTACTGAGCTGTAAAATTGACTGGACAGCAGGCAGTATACAGAATGAGACCTGGCATCGTGGACACACTAACCTTGTGGAGGGCCACTGCTGCTGGCTGCACCTAAAGAGATGGAGACAGAATGTCAGCCATATTAGACTGAGAAAGGTTCAATGAGGAAGAAACCAAGAGCAAAGGGAGACAGACACTGAGAGACATATTGTTTCTTCATAACAAAACAATATGGCAGCTTGGCAAAGCACATCTAAATCAATATGAGGTGGACATACACTGTTACACAGAGATATAAGGATAGGCCACAGAAAGAAAAGGTGGAAGCATTAGAATAAACCTAAGCTACTGTATTATAGTCAGTATGTTGATGCTGTCAGCCTTTGCTTATAGATTCATCAAAGTAAGACTCAACATCTAAGTTATTTCTTTATATTTTCAAAATGAAACACCAAACATATTGAAAAGCAACATAGCACACTTCACAAAGGGGTCAAGTTTCTGAACTTTATAAGAATATTTATGTTTTGGAAGACTTTTTACTTTTACTTAAATTTAAACAAAATATATCTGTATTTTCTATTTCTATACATGTTGAAAATGACATAACAGAATAAAACAGTAAGGAAAACAGAATAACAGTAATAAAACAGAAGGAAAATCAAGGCTGCAGAGAAATAATCTGTCCAGTTGGAGCTCAGTTTGTTCATAGAAAAACACTGATAGAGACAGATATGAAGACAGGAGGCTGGAAACCATTGCGGATGATGGATCGGATTCTGGCAGGCAGTACATTTTCCATCTATTTTCCTTTTGTTATATATTCAAATGTTCATACTGTTCATGTTTCAAGTTGTATTTCAACCTTAACACTATTTGCAACTGTACTGCTGGGAATACCAGAGCTGTGAAGGTTTTCAGCTGCTTATGCAGGACGTCTCATCAGCTTAATCTACATTATCCTGTGTGAAATTTCAATTTTAATTCAGAACAAGATTGAGTTAGTATTCCGCAAAAGTTTAAGAAAAAAAAAATTGAATTGAGAAGGTTTCCTGGAGGGGAAGCGAAACGTTTTCAAACCTTGGAAACCAAGTCCAGTGGATTGTTTTTTTCTTCTTAAACTTTTACGGAATGACTATGACCTGGATGACTGAGAATCTTCATCAACATGGAGTTAGTATCTTGCAACCAGTACAATGAGCAAAAGAGCAAAATTGACCTTTTTACTATAAACTCAAATATTGAAAATAATTAAATATATTGAGTAGTTAAAACTCATCTGCTAAATCAAATGTGTTGAGTTAATTTAACATATTCTTCTGTTCGCTTGATTAGTCTGACACCAGTGGCTAACTTGGGTAGCAATGGTTGTAGCCAGGGGTAAAACACCAGGGCATCGTCCGACTGTCTGCCCTAACCACTATATAGGGTAGGGGTGGGTATTGCCAAAGAAGTCACGATTCGATTCAAATCACGATTCACATGCCACGATGCGATTCTATCGCGATGCATCTCGATACTTGAAATATTGCGATACATCACGATATTTTCACTGAACACTGTAAGAAAAAAATACAGCAACTTAATTCATACATAGCTTTATTTATTGAAACAACTATCGAAGGTATTGCCATGAAGACAATTACTGGACACAAATATTACTATTACTGGAGTGGACAGACTGACAAAAGTGCTTAGGATTTATGAAACTTAAAATAACAGTGCCGTTTACATGGCCTCAGTGGTCCTATATACCAATGAAATGGAAAAATTTCCCCTTTTGAAAATTACATGCGTTATATCAATTTCGTTTTTACATTCTTTGTTTTTAAAGCCAAAATGCATCCAAACATCTGACTTGGAATGTGATGGAGCTGGGAAAATTTTCTCAGTCTCCATGTTTTGTTTATTAATGACTTGTCGCAGTATCCGCAGCGACATCTACTGGACTGAAATTTGTATTCCACTTGCTTTTGGCGGATGTGTGCCACCCAATCATGTATTTTATTTATTCCCCTTTGTTAATTAAGAATCGATACTTGGCATCAAGAATCGATGCAGTAGATCACAAAAATTAGAATCGCGATGAATTGTCATGACGATTATTTTGCACACCCCTAATATAGGGCACTATAGAGTGAATACGGCATTTTAGATGAGTGTTTGAACGTCTAGTGAATGGAAAAGTAGTGGACTCGAAATTTCCCACAATGCACCTTGAAAAGTAGTGATCATTCATTGTCACTACACGAACAGATATATCTCAGAATGCTTTGCATTTGCTGTAACAGTGGCGCACGTCACCATAGGCTGTCGCTACCCGACAGCAGCGGCAAATAACAAAAATGGTGCAGGCACCACATGGTGACGGCAGAATTACGTGATCAACGGGGACTGAAAAGTAGTGATCATCTGTCCAAACAGTCAGTTAACTAAGTGCATTATAAAGTCCCTGCTCTATTTAGTGATTTAGGGATTTAGGGGTTAAGGCGGACACAGCCCATGAGTGAATATGGATGAATATATATATATTTAAAAAGAGTTAACACTCCAGATCTATGTGATTTAATAATCATTATGCTAGTAAATGCTAGTAGATTGGCTTTTTACAACAATATATTAATAGCTAACCTGGCTTAAAGATACAACTTAACCACCTTTGCTGCTAAGGTTCATAAAGCACCGAGTATAACTGATAAATTTTAGATAAGTGTTAAGTATTAAACATTTTAGTATATGAAACTTAGAAGGTTTAAGTTCAGTTTACGGAATAAAACAACAAAATGAAATGTTTCTATGCATATTAGCTTAAAAAGAAAATGTAAGTACAAGTACTTAAATAGATTTTTACATTCAACTTAGCAGTATACGTATAATAAGAAATGGTTTAAAGCTTCCTCAAATCATTGAGCTTAACTTACTTATCAGGTTTTAGTGTATAGAACTGATATTTTTAAGAACAGTGTTTATGATTTATTTTGTATTTTTTAAGGTAAAAATTTTATTTGTATTTAAGTACAAGGTAAAATATTTACTTTTTCACTTCTACTTCAGTAGATAAGTTCAATCAGTAGTTTTACCTTTACCCGAACCTTGTTTAACACAGGTCTACATTAGTGAGTACATGAATACTTTTGACACCTCTGACACTTCAGCAGATAACAGGAAGACTAAACATACAACAGCCTGATTCAACATCTGTTGACAGAAAATGTTGGAAGGTTTTTAATTTAATGTAACAGTCTTCATTCTCCGGAGCACACGTATTAAAGCTGCGGTTTACCTTTAGCGATGCTAACCATGCTAGTTCATAGTGTAGGTTGGGAAAGATTAAAATGTCTTAGTGATGGTTTCGTACAGTGACCTTATAGCGACTGCTCTCTTCTCACACAGTGTGACGTCACCTCTGGTCTTTATACGTACAATTAATGACGGCTTGAGTCTTACAGAGGAACTGGAATCATCTTGATTTTATATCTGCAGATCAAAGCTTGACCAAAACCCAAACATCAGTCTGAATCCTCTCGTTGGTGAACCTCTAATAAAAAGGTGGTACCTTTATCGCTTTGATACCTCTCTTCTGTAATGAATTCTGCTCGCATCACTACTCCTGGAACAAATCTGAGCAATCAATTACTATGAATCACAAATAGACTGGCTGCGGTTTAGATGTGAACAAATGGAGTTTCAGTCTCTTACAGATGATATTAGTGCTCTGAGCTTCTTTTGCTCCACAAGAGATTAAGCAGGTTTGTAGTCTCTCAGGCGGGCGGCTCACCCCCCCTCCCCTCCAGGGTGCAGCACTATCATTTGCAGGAAAATTACTTCAGTAATGAAGAATCCGGGCCCATAAATCCTTGTGGCCTCACCTTACTTCGCTGCCCAAGTCTAGCTGAAGAGCTAGTAAAAGTTCCCTTTAAAAAATTCATAGCGCAATTTCGCTCAAATCCCTCCCAGCAAGCACAATTATGGAACTTTCATCTCAATTGATTTATGTCTTGGGTGGAAAAAAAAAGAAAAAAAAAGGGGGTGGGGGGGTTCAAAGTGGGTCATTGTGGAGAGTGAGGTTAGAGGGAAGGGAGGGAAATAACAAGTGGTAAATCATTGTTTTTAAACCGGAAGGTGTAGAGCCTTTTGTCAATTTCTCTGGATGCGTGTTGTACTGCATGTGATGGAGAAGTATGGGTGGAGGAGGAGGCAAGGGAAGCATTTATGAGTGGAAGTAAAACAGCAGAAAGAGGGAAAGAGAGAAAGAGAGATAAGGGCAAAAAGCAGTATTACACTTGATTAATAACACTAATCAAATTATACAGTGTTCCACTGTGCCCTGAAATCTGGGGCCATAATGTCCTCTAAAAGCGAGGTTCATGGAGCTAAACTTCAGAGGGAAAACACAGCGCTGACTGCTGCACGCCTTAATGAAGGCAGTAAAACATCCATTTCCAGAAGCCATGAAATGAAAGGCGAGATTGTAGATGTGCACCCAGTGGCTCCCTGACTGCAAAATAAAAGAGAAAAGAAGAAAAAAGACGAGAACAAAATAAAACCCCCACTGAACACAGTGTCAGAGATAGACAGAGAGATGCTTTATTGTCTTAGGAAGAGAAATGAAGATAGAATAAAACACACGAGCAGTTAAAGGGTAACACCAACAACAAGCAGATATAAAACAACAAAGAGGAAAAGGCTGATGAAGCAAAGATAGAGGCAGGTTGGCAGCTCCTTGCAGGCTTCATTTCCAGAGAACTGCTCCTCTGGCATGGAGACAGTCATTTGTGTCTCCTGATTATGGATGAGCTTGGTTGCTTTACTGTGTCTGTTATACTTAGCGCTGCTGAAAACAGCCACAATTCATCACTATTTAGCTGCTGATGCACCTAACCACAGCATCCTCCCCCTCATCTATATCAATACCTCTCCATTAGACACTCATTGTCCACTCAGGCATGCATTGTGTTGATCCATCTTTCCCTTCATATATCTAGCTGTCCGCCCATTCATGTGGATCCCTGCAGCCATTTGTTCTGCCATCGGGGTATACATTTATCTATGTTTGCATAAACTCCTCAATCATATGTTTGTACGTATATCAATACTTTAATTCAGTGTGA